CGGCCGGTGTGATAATAAAAAAAAAATAAAAAAAAAATATATATATATATATATATATATATATATATATGACATATATATATATATATATATATATATATATATAATATATATAAATATATATATATATATATATATATATATATATATATATCGTGACTGAATAGGCAAAACCTGTTATTTTGGCTTAAATAGCAACGCTCTTCTTGCCGAATAAGGCAAGTAAAAATTTGTCTGCAATAATTTCGCAAAAATCATTCTGAACCTAACAAAAAAAATATTTCATTGTGTTTGTTTTTTTTATTATAAAATTATTGAAAACTTGTCTACATTTACCCTAGTTCGATTAGGCTAAATTAAATTGCGCTTGTTATAATAAGGTTAGGTAAGTTATCTAAGGTTCTTTTGGTACTAAATTATTCATTTTTCCATTAACTTAAATGGAAAAATATATCTTTAAAAATATGAGAAAATTTTAGAAAGGACTTAATTTTAAATTAGTCCTTTCTAATTGACCAATTTTACCTATTCGGCACGACATATATATAACTATTGGATTTGTCACATTTGCTTTTTACTGATGACACTGTGTTTTTGGGAAATTCTGAAAAGATGATTCAAAGGTAAGTGGACGAATTACGGAGTGTGTGTAAAAGAAGGAAATTAAAGGTGAATATAGGAAAAGAGCAAGGTGATGGGTGTAATACAAAATTTACGTAATGCAAGTTTGGATAGCAGATTGGAAGGAGGGAATATGGAGGAAATGAATGTGCTCAGATATCTGGGAGCGGACAAGCTAGCAGACGGGCCTATGAAAGACGTAGTGAACCATGGAACTGATGAGAGGAAAAAGGTGGGTGGTGTATTAAGCGTCTCTGGAGACAAACAACATTATTAATGAAGGAAAAAGGGGGATGCATAAGAGTATATGAGCATGGACCATTTGTTGCGAGGAAGATGCCGGAGGCTGTGGAGACATCGTGTTTGAGGGCAGTGTGTGGTGTTAATATTATGAAGAGAATTCGTGCTTTGAAGATTGGGAGGAGGTGGAAGGTTACTGAATCTATAATCGGGAGGGCTGAGGAAGGGGTTTTGAGGTTGTTTAGACAGACAGGACGGAGAAAAATAGGGTGACTTGGAGGGTGTATAAATCTGTAGTGGAGGGATGATGATGCAGGGATAGGTAGTTCAATATCTGTCTGGTGAGGCTGCAAAACTATCTTTAATCTTAGATTTATATTCTTCCAGATCTATCCTCTCCTTCTCTAAACTTTTGTTGACAGTTTTAGAATTATCTTGTGCTAGTTGCAGCTGCTGTTCTAATTCTTTCATGCGTTAAATTATTCCTTAATAACCTCCTCAGTATTTTCCTTATTATCACCTTTCTCAACTTCATTAGTTTTAGTTTTCTCACTCAAGTCTTCTGTATTTACTGTAAGGATTTTTCATCTTCTATTTAATTTTTTAACATTGCATTTTACTTATTAAATTTTTCTAATTAATCCCCTTTGATTTGCTTGAAGTTCTTCGGTTTTAGTCATTCTATCCATCCACTGTTGATAAATATAGATTTTCTTAGAACGTGTACCTACCACCATATTTTATGGAATAAGTAAGACACTTAATTGTTGTGCTACACTATTTCTCCTTAGTAATAATTTCCTTATATTTTTTTGGAGACACCAGTAACATAAAACTCTCTCTTCTTACACTACCATACAGAAATTTTTCCCAGGATGAGGTGGCTGATGGCTGTTCTCCTCGGAGGTGTGTATGTGTGTGTGTTTATAGTTGAGCTCAAGCTTCTCGTTTCGCCCTCTAACTATCGGTCGACCGTCGAGATTGAGCCATATCAGTCTCTGTTTGAGCCCATGCACGTAGCCCTAATCCACTATGTCAATACTCACCTCATTCCACTTTTACCACACCTATACTGGAAAAATATTCCCTAATATCCTCTTGCCTCATGTATGCTTGTCATTTCTTGCATTTCTGGTAAAGGTCCTATCCTAATTTTCGATGCCTATGGCTTGTAGTATTCTAAGAACTGTTACAATATTCTTTCTTCTTTTCTCTAATGACATTAGGGCATTCCCATGTTTCCTTTTTCACTTTCTCTATGTCCTACATTTATATATTTAGGGAACTGTGTTCCAGTTCCCTGAATTGAGCCTGAATACCTTCCATCCCCTACTGTATAATCCCTAGGGGTTCAGCGCTTCCCCCCGTGATTATAATACCAATGACACTCCACCATTGACACAGATGGACACCGAACACCCATGTGACTTATAAATATTAATGCCTTTACAACAAAAAAAAAATTATTTAAATGATTAAAAGTACGCCGTAAAGAATAAAAAGGCGCAACACCGTGATTGGAACAATGTACCAACAACCCGCACAATGGAGAACCAAACTTATGACGACGTTTCGGTCCGACTTGGACTAGTCACAACAGTGTGTAAGTACGTGAGAACCAGATCACATCAGGTAACCAATATAATTTAAAGAGTAGTAGCTCAACACCGTTGAGTTCAGCTGATGAATACTCATCCAGCAGGAGAGATCACATTTAATAACTCATTTTCTTTCCTAAACGCGAACATCAAAATTCTAGGGAGTTTATTCGTTATTCCCGGAAATGATATTACAAAAGCAATATTCAAATGGTATGATCACCGGTTATTACGTTTTCAAGACTTGTGTGGAAAAATAATCTTTCATATGCTGCCATTACGTACTAGGAAATTCTTAATCACAATGTATACATGCGTAGTGGTCCACTGTACATGGATGAACTTGAGTTATCCCCGACTCACGGGTATTAATCCGCATTATTTAGCAATTCGTAAATCTATAATTCTTGACTCCCGATGTAATCAAAGAACACCAAACTTTATCTGGTGCATATTTCACGAAAGGTGAAGCCCTCGCATCCAGTGAACTGGAGTTAATGATAGCCTCGTAAAATCAAAAAATATTTCCTTTCCATTCCTCAGGTACAGTATAAACTCTATTGGTTTACCGCCTATTCATTATTATAATTATGATAATTTACCTGGTACATTAGTGGTCAGTCTCGCTCGTCTCGTGTAGAATATGTCCTGTCTGAATCGTGAAGGGAAGCTCTGGGCTCCTGGCTTTCTCGAGAGACTGTTTAGGCTTTTGCATGTACTTCTGAATGTGAGTTCCTAATCCTGATTCAAATTTATCTATGATAGGTGTGATACATAATCCTTCAAGTGTGACTTTATGACTATCTACTTCTTAATACTGTTGTGTTGATGTATGTACAAAACTAGGCTCCAGGGGTTCCATCTTCGAAACTTAATTTCGAGTTCTTTGACAGTGTCTAAGATGTGTTACACACTTCCTCCTGATCCACATGCTTCCAGTAAGAGGTTACAATTGTTAAGAAATAATTCCTATCAGCCTTCGTACATCGTTCTTAGTTTAACTTATTACCAGTTACAGAATACATCCATAATCTTTTTTTTTTTTTTTTTGAACTTATTTGAGGTTTTCGAATCGGCTGTTATTTTCTTGTTTTAAAGTACGGCGGCCATCATTAGTGCCTTCAGAGACTCCGTGATTACGTAACTGAAATTACTTTTTTGTATACATATTTGTAAATAATTATGTTTCTTGACACTGTCAAGTTGACAAAGGATTATATCTTCCTGCTGCCGTCTGAGTTTACAGGCGATGAAATGTCGAAGCAACGAGAAGGGTGCCCCTTATCTTATGACGTTTATATATGTCGTTGCTTGTTAAGCCCAACGAAAGAAAGTTAGCGTCCACATGATGGCTCTGGGGTTGCCAAAGATGCTGGGGTTCCAAGACCAAAGTGTATGATTAAGAATGAAGAATGAGACACTTCTGAAAAATTTGGGAATCTTTACTTAGGAAACGTTTCGCCAGCCAGTAGCTTCTTCAGTCCAATACAAAGAATAACAGAGGAAGATGAGGAAGAGTATGAGGTAAACAGTCCCTCAGCCTAGAGTTAATGTGTTCGATCCATCAGTCTTGAAAAATATACATGTGTGCCAAGTTCCTTATATACTGCAGTCAGGTGAGAAGAAACAGGAGAGGCGGAGTCACGATTGCACAAATCGACTAGTGTAAGTAGGTCATGCCTATAGATTAAGTAAGTGTTGAGGAAATCCCTGTATCAAGATCCCAAGATGTTGCACTGTCTGACAGGTATGATGAAAAAGGTTTCGAGAACTAACAACTTGTTGGTTTTCAAAACCATTTTCATCACATGATTAAGATTGAAATAGAGCCAGTATATGGTCTCACCCTGCTTTCACGTTCTCTGATCTGATCTTGGTGGCATCACTAGATGGTTTCAGTTTGTTGTGGATATGCTAGTAAGTGGTCTCAGCTGGTCTGGTAGTGGTGGTATCATTAAATGCATTTACCTCCATCTAATTGTGGTGGTAGAGGTATGTTGTCTCACCTGGTCTGAGAGTAGTATTACTTTGATTGTACTAGTAGATGGTCTAACCCAGTTGTAGTAGAGGAGGTAGATATACCAGGTATAACCAGTAGCTGTATATGGTGTCATCTGATATCGTGGCACCAGAAGATTGTAACACCTTATTATGGCACTAGCAGATGGTGTCACCTGGTTATAATGGTACCAGCAGATGATCTTGGTAATCATGGTATGTACCAGTAGATTATCTTACCTGGTTAGAATGGTACTAGTAGACGATCTTATTTGGTATTCATGGTACCAATAGATTATCTTACCTGGTTATGATGGTACCAGCAGATCTTACATAGTTAATGGTACCAGTCGATGATCTTACCTGTAATGGTACCAGTCGATGATCTTACCTGTAATGGTACCAGTCGATGATCTTACCTGTAATGGTACCAGTCTATGATCTTACCTGGTTATGATGGTACCAGTCGATGGTCTTACCTGGTTATGATGGTACCAGTCTATGATCTTACCTGGTTATGATGGTACCAGTCTATGAGCTTACCTGGTTATGATGGTACCAATATATGAAGACTGGTCTCTCCGTGCCGTGGGTTACTACACACGTTAGGTTGATGGGTGACCCACGGTGGACGAAGATCTCCGGAGCGTTGAGCACCCACGCCCGCGGCA